TACCCTCCAGCACCGCGCTCCATCAGCAGCTCCGGTGAAGCTGAAGATGATGATATGGGGCAGTTCACCATCCTCAGCAGTCAGTGGGATAAATCTGGGGGTGAGCAAAGACCCATGTCAGGCAGTTCTTGGTCCCCCTCAGGCTTCTACACCCCAGCTCAGGTGGAGCAGAGTAACCCAGCCCACTCCATGCTGGCTTTTCCGGACAGTCATGGGATCATTAGCAAGATCCACGGGCCCTTTAAGCTGCAGGCCCTGTGGGCGGCACAAGGGAGAGTGACTCTTTCAGTCTCCCACAGCTCCCTGAACACAGGGAAAACCTGTGTGATGCCAACAGGTAGAACCAAACCTGGGACCTCCAGAGATTAGTGAATGAGCCTCTGTCACTTGAGCTGAAAGCCAGCTGGCTGTGAGCAAAGGCTGTAGAGGAAACTCATTCGAACTCGCTGTAAGTGGTCTCGGTGCCACTACATGGGACAGTGACCCAACCCAGTAGGTGTGTGACTTACACCTGTACTCAGGCCTACTCAGTCCCTGTCCTGGCAGTACCGTCCCACACTAAGGGAAGAGTCCAGGCAGAGTTCTCTTGCATGCAGCTACTACAAATTGGGCCATGAGATCCATACCCTGTTGACCCCTCTCTGACTGTGGGGCTGGGAGTCCAGACAGAGGGAGAGATGGAATGACTCTCCAGCACAGGAGCACAGACCTTTGGTGGCATGCACACCCCAGCAGGACCGGGGACACCAGTACTTAAGATCCCCAAGTCAACGGTACCACTCATGCAACCACCCCCAGCAGGACCGGGGACACCAGTACTTAAGATACCACTCATGCAACCTGTCATGAGAAAGGTGCAGCTCCCCGTGTGAATGCCTTCTCTACCCACTCCCCCTCATAGTCACAGTCTCCTTAGTGGCCCCATTCCTGCAGTGTGTGGAGTAGATTACTGCCCACGGGCTATCCCTCCACCACATGAGACCACATGTGAGGAAGCCTCCATGATTTTATCTGGGTGAAAATTCTTTAGTTGCTGTCTCTCAACTTATGAAAAATTCACCATAAAAATACTATCTACATAGCTAATTGAGAACCCCAGCGATGGTCCATTATGCAACATTTCTCCATTATCAAAATTAAAAGTGCATTCAAAGCTATGATGAGCCCAATTGCTGGGAAGGCAGGCAACCCACTAATTCACTTGGAGCCTCTGGGAAACCCAAAAGCTGTACATTACATCACTATGTTTAGAAACAAAATTAAGAAAAGTGAGTGACATGATTCTTCTTCCATTAGAAAGTTATTGAATGTTTAGTGTAAATGTCAACATCCTCTGTTCAATAAAACAGTCAATAAAACAGTCACCAGTAAAACTGATTTCCATAGAAAAATATGAAAACAGTACGAGAAGGGTCAGCTCCTTCCTATTGGACTTTCCATGTCTCTAAATTTGACGTTGGGGTTGAAATGGATTATTTCGAGAAGGTTTTGACCTATAGAACATTTGAATGGTCCCAAGTGTCACAGGGAGGGTTGGGTCCCCTTAGGAGGGAACTGGTCCAGCCCACACATGACCCGCACTCAATTTGTAATAAGTGAGATGCCAGGGCTCAGATCATAACTGATGCAGTAAGTCCAGCAGTGCGTTGGCCCGGAGGTTCTGGGGCTCAGCCCTGGCAAGCCCTAGCACTGCCTGAGCCTCACTAACATCCCTTTGATGGGCCTGCCTGATTGCCGCTGGACCATTTCCAGGGCTGAAGGGGAGCAGGGCACTGGGAGAGGGAGCTGTGGCTGAGTGAACCTGCAGAGACTTAGCAGACTCCTGAATGCTGCAGGGAGCAGAAGACTCTGAAGAAAAGCCTGTGGCTGGGAACTGGTCCAGCCCACACATGACCCGCACTCAATTTGTAATAAGTGAGATGCCAGGGCTCAACCCTGAGGGCTGTAGTTGGAGGAACAGGCTCATCCTTGCTGGAAGAGGTGGGGCCTGCACAAGCCAGGTGGTTCCTGGTAGGGGGTTGCTGTGGCTAGGAAAGGCAGCTGGGAGTTGGCTGCTGTCACTCCCTCAAGGGAAGGGGCTGGAGGCTGACAAACCCCTGAGAGTGGGGGAGGCCATACACGTAGCAAGCTGTCCAGGGAAAGGGCAGCAAGAAGTAGGACTCTGCAAGGATAGTGGCTGCTTAGTACAAGGTCCCTGGGCTGGACACTGGTGTAAATGGTAGGCCGGGGTTGCCCTACCTGCCACAGGAAGTGGAAAAAGCCAAAGATCAGCCAGAGAGATAGAGGAGAGTGATTTCCCAGAGGAGGAATATTTTAGTGTCCTCTCTGGAAGGCCAAGCCATGTGGTGGGAGGCTGCAGATCTGTGTGTGGCTGAGGCAGTGAAGTGAGAGAAGCTTCAGATCAGCAATGACGTGCAAGCCATGGATGGGACAGAGAGAAGAGGTTGGCCTGGAGCTAATCCCCAGAGAGACCAGGAAGAAGCAGCAGCCCAGGAATGAGTGAATCACCCCATGAGAGGGACCAAAAGACTCCAGCCAAGTAAGGCTACAAATGGCCAGCTAAAAGATTGTGAAGAGCACAGTAGGCGTCAGTCTGTAAGAGCACATTCAGTAACCTTGCTACAGTTAATTAAACTGGCTTTTGCCAGGGCCTCCTTAACCAGGGGATAGCCTCATAAGCCAAGTTAAAGGGACTGTGCAGCAGGAAGAGCAACTCCATGTATGGCAATGTCATTTGATGGGAATTGTGACCTAGCCTGGCCACGAATGTACATTCCTGTTTGGAGGGAAAATCCCAAGCATCATGGACTTTCCCCATGCAGCTCCAGCTTATCTTGATCTTAAACTGATCTCTGTGATCCACGTGGACCTGCACAGGAATGGACTAATATCTTTGCTGTTAATGTTCTCATGTGTTCCACAAGCTGTTGTCATATGAGTCCCAGCAATGGCCCCGCACAATTTGGAAACCCTATTATCTCAAAGCCAGCAGTTACCTCAGGATTATCTTTCATTCCTGTCACCTTGAGGTAAACCATATGCCTGATAGCTTGAGAAACCTCTCGCACCACTTACCCGCTGTTAACTTCCCAACTTCAAATTGGTTGGCAACAGGCCTGTGGCAGTGTGGAGTAGCCAATTTTCAGACAATGTCGCAGTCGGTTACTGAATGTGCTCTTACTGAATGTGTTCTTTGTGTTGATTCAGTATTGGGAAATGCAGTAACATGCACCTCTCAATGTCCCTTGCAAACAGAGGCAGCTTTCCTTCACATGGAAGAACTTCTTTCAAAAAGAAACTTTCTATTTCCTTTTCCTTGTAGCTTTTGATTCAACTCATTTAAAAGAGAAGTTAAATCCACCATGGTTTAATGTTCCTGCAGGCCACCGAGGACCCGTTAATTATATATATTGAAGCCCCCTTTCCTTGAGAAACATCCTAATTTCCACAAGACATGATGCAAACTTCACCAGCAGCACTGCACCCCTGGAAAGCCATTTTACCATGTTATACACGAGAAGATAAGGCTATTGGCTGCTAACTTCTCAAAGAGGCTCCCAAAACTGTCAATTACAGAGGGTGCTTGTCACTATTTTTTGTTAACAATGTACATGGCCATTTATGTTAAAGATTTCCTCTAGAAAGATTTGTGCATGTGGTGACCTCTGGTGGGTTATGCAGTATAAAGAAATTACATTGCACTCCACATTTTTTTAAATAAATGAAACCTTTGTGTTTCCCCTTCATGCTCAGTGCTCTACCTGTAGCAATGGAAACTATTCTGTTGATGTTAGTATCTTTTTGTTTCAGACATCCAGCAACAGCAGCTGCAATATATTAACACTGAGCTTGTCCGTAGAGTCATACAGAGGTAATAGAGTCTCCATCTCCCAGATGGCTGAGGTTTCTTCCAGTGATTTCTGTCTTTTCTGGACTCTCCTCGAGGGATGAGAGGCCATGGAAGGTGAAGTGGAATCTGACCCATCAAAGTAAGTAACTATAAATATTACTAATTGTCTTTAACATTTGGTGGAAAGTTCCCCGGAAACATGACTTACTGGAATAAGTTCTGCTTCACTGAATAATTCAAAGTGTTTCTGCAGCCAGTGAACTCCTGATCAATGCTTGGTAAATAGTCACGCTTGCTCAATCCATCTTGCCCAAGTAAAGTGCTATCTCCCAGAGCTGGGCACAATAAGGTGTTTTTAACCCAAAGTTGAGTGTCTGTCAATAGAGGTGGCTTACAGAAATGTAAAGTTTGGCATTTATGCTCTTTAAATATTTGTTCCAGTATCCAAATGTTTTGGTTTACCAAAGAGATCTCAGCGAGGGTAATACACAGATATTCTGGGGTTGTACAGAAAAGCCTTTTAAAACATTTCCATTGCAAGTGAGTTAACTGGCAATCAAAGAAAAGACCTCAAGTGTCGACATTCTATCAGGTATATGTCCTCTGCACCTGCCAGTCCAGCTGCCACTGTCAGCTGATGCCTTTCAGGTGGGAAGTGGACTGGGGTCATGGAAATTCATCCTGAAGATCCTGCCACATTCACAGGCTGGGTGAACCACCTACTAGATGTTCCAATATCATGGTGTGTGCAAGGTTCAGTCCTGCAATACATTTGTCTGTACTAAGCAGAGTGTTAAATCTGTTTATATTAACCTCACTGATCGTTCCTGAAGTAGTTGCTACGCTGAATCTGTTGTAGACATCAGTTGCATGTTTTCCTTCTCTTCTTGTGCAATGTGAGAGTCAGTCATTATGTCTCTAGCCCTGTGTATATGTGTGTTTCTCATCAGGGATCTGTGCTGTGCACAACTGCATGTTATAAAGAGCCCAGAAATGCAATGAGGTGAGACCTTCTGTGTAATCAAAGAAGAGCATGGAAAAATCCAATGTGGGCTGTATTCCAGGGAAGCGTGCTCCTGTTATCTCTGTACTTTGATGTTGACTGATGGGGATGCGAAGCGCCAAGGGGGAGTGGAGGCTTAGAAGAGCCATCAAAAGGAGTTGTTGAGGGCAGGATCCAGAGATGATCAGAGCTCCACAGCCACTATTCTGAGTGCCGGGATGATATTGCTGAGCTGCCTCATCATTCAGCTATTCTGGGCTTTCTGTGTCAAGGGACAAGGTAAGAGGTAAATGAATCAAAAAGATTGAACAGCACTTTGCAAAACCATTCTCTGGTGTGCAGGGATAGATACTAAACCAGCCTGATAGTGCAAGGAGCCAAGGTGTGGTACAGGAACAGGTACCACATAACAGGTTATGAAGCCTCTTTTTTGTGTACGTCTAGAGAATATTTTCACCTGTCAGAGTTAGTGCCTGATACAACAGGGCTGGGTATATTCCTCCCGCCCCCGATACATTGGAGTGCAAAAGTGCCTGAGTCATCCCAGCATTTTGAATGGGTTGCTTATGTAATCAGAACAGCCAATGAAATTCACTCTGTACATCAGTCCCTGATCCCAGTTCTACTCTGGAATTATCTATTCCACTATGTGAACTGTAATTATATTGATTGTGTGCATGTTTAAAAATTGTATCACTCCTGTATTCAGTTTATGTATTCCAGGAAACAGACATGGGTTTGATGTGTAGCTACTGTATGCAGTGCTGCTTGTCGCGTATGGATAGATAATACATATGAGGTCCTATAGGGCGAACAGGCCTTTTCATTCCTGACACCCATTCTGCTTTGTGCATTCCCAATAATCACATACGATAAATCTGCCATGCAGCAGTGTTCCCTGTAAGCGAAGTGCTTGAGCAGCTGCTCAGGAGAGATTCCAGTGCCACCCAGGTGATTAGCAGAGCACCCACAGCCCAGCAGCATGTGTTTCTACTGATGGTGCACACCTACACAAACCTTGGTGCACATAACAAAATTTATTCCACAGATGGATGGGAAAAATTAGGGAGCACTTTGCAATGTATGATTTTTCCAGGAGCTTGGGTATCTTCTTGGTAGATAAGGATTATTTGGGTTTGCTAGAGGCAAAGGAAGTTCCATTTGAAATTTATTAAAGAGGACCTGCTCTGAGGAAGAATCAGGACTGTAGAGAGAAGTAGTTTTATTTGTAGTATCCTTGCCTCATTTGCGCTCTAAGGACTATGGTTAGCATTTCTGTCCTAGGGGACATCTTTTAACGGTCCACTCAAAGTTTATCCAAATAATCCCATTGAAGCAAGGGGTAGAATTTGTCATGGACTATGCAGAGGGTTCTGTCCCACAACTCACATATTGGGTTTGTGGGAGGGGGGAGGTGTCTCCAGGGCATGACAACAAAGCCACTCACAGACCGGGTCCTAGCTATTTTGGAAGTCCAGTGTCATTTGGGACTTTGGGAAGCAGTTGATTGCTCTGGGCCTATGTGATCACCAAGCCTAGAAGAAAGCTGCATAGAAGCTATTATTGAAGAAAGGGATCCAGGTGTGGCTGTAGCTCATCAGCACCCAGCATCTTCACTAGCTATAGCACAGCTGCAGCGATGAGCTGCTGCGATGTAGCTCTAGTCGTGCACGTGGCTTTGGAAAGCTCCACTTCACGTCTTTACATCACGTCGGTGGTTGAGGTATTAGGGGATGTTTTATTCCCTCATTTCTTAAGGCGGTGTCTCAATGCTCCTCCACAGAGATGAAGGGGGTTGCATTTTTGAGTACCTAAAATGCTGGTTTTTTACTTCCCTTGAAATACTGCTTCTGGCAGGGCACTCCTGTTACATCTTGTTTCCATTCACTGAGACCATTTATTTTATGTGAACACACCTGATTGCAGACTATACACGAGCTGCTTTTCACTTTAAATTCAAATCTGAATTAATTTCCATGTGTAGATGAGCCCCTGCTTTCTGGATCTCTTCCGGAATAGTTTATTTCTAAATTGAGCGTCCACATGCAAAAAAGAGTATTGAAAAATTATTTTCAATTTCAAAATAGAGCACCCACACTGATTGGATGCTATCTTGCATTTAAGGCCACCTGGAACCGCTTCAGGCAGGTCATTAGGTCAGCAGTGACTTCCTGGAGCTGCTGCTTGAGCCTATCTGAGACGCCAGCTTAAAGGGACCCCCCTGTACAGCTGTGTCTCAGCTGTTTATTCTCCTGCTTGCCAACTGCTCTGAGGGACAGCAAAGCATTTCCACTGCATGCTTTGGTTGCCCTGTGTTTGGACAGCACAAAGCTGCCTGCTATGGAGCCGGTGCTGCCCCTGGACATGCAACAGCCATAACTGTCATGCTGCAGCTTCTGCAGACTGCCCTCCAGGCCCTGCAGGAACGCAACCTCAAGCTGCTTGAGGAGACACTCAACATGTGTGTGGGAGCGCAGCTCTTTCAGATGTAACCCACTGTGGAGCACCGCTTCTGGGACCGGCTTGTCATGGAGCAGTGGGACAACTAGCAGTGGCTCCAGAACTTGAGGAAGAAGACATTTCTGGAGCAGTGTGCCTGGCTCACCCCTACCCTCATGTGATGGAACGCCCAGATAAGACCTGCCATCCCCCTGGAGAAGCGGGTCACCATCATGATTTGGAAGCTCGCCATGCCGGACAGTTACTGATCTGCCGGGAACCAGTTTGGCATGGGGAAGTTGACCATCGGGGCCCTCATCATGCAGGTATGGTGCTCTCAGGCTGCAGTCTCAGAGGTGGGGGTGACGTTCTGGAAAGGGGAACCCTAGGGAAAGGAGGGGTGGGAGTGAGGGGGATAGAAGGGCACCCCTGTGTGTCTGTTTGGTTTGTTTCTCTCCTTCTGCAGCTGGTGAGGGCAGTCAACACAGTCCTTCTGTGTGGAGTCATCCACCTCAGTGACGTGGATCCCATAGTCGCTGGTTTGTCACCATGAGCTTCCACAACTGCGGGGGAGGAGGGAGGCTATTGATGGCATCCACATCCCCATCTGGGCCCCCAATTACTAACCCCTGTGTGTCTGTTTGGTTTGTTTCTCTCCTTCTGCAGCTGGTGAGGGCAGTCAACACAGTCCTTCTGTGTGGAGTCATCCACCTCAGTGACGTGGATCCCATAGTCGCTGGTTTGTCACCATGAGCTTCCACAACTGCGGGGGAGGAGGGAGGCTATTGATGGCATCCACATCCCCATCTGGGCCCCCAATTACTAAGCATCTCTGTATATTGACTGCAAGAGCTATTTTTCCATAATCCTGCAAGCTCTGGTCAACCACCGTGGCCAGTTTTTGGACATCTTCATCGGCTGGTTGGGGAAGGCACATGACACCCGCGTCGTCAGGAACTCCAGCCTCTTCCAGAAGCTGGAGGCTGGCACTTTCTTCCCTGACCACAGCATCAGGGTCGGGGACGTGGACATGCCCCTGTGCATCATGGGGGACAAGGTCTACCCTCTTGTCCTGTGGCTCATGAAGCCCTACACCGGATACCTTGACCCCAGCAAGGACCACTTTAATGTCTGGCTGGGAGGGGCCTGCATGCAGGCTGAATGCACCTTTGGGCTTCTCAAGGTGCAGTTCAGATGCCTCCTGACTGGCCTGGATGTAGGGGAGCAGAACATCCTCCAGGTGGTGTCTACATGTTGTGTGCTGCACAACATCATGGAGAGGAAGGGAGAGGCTTTCCTTCCAGGGTGGGGGGCAGAGGCTGGATGGGAGTGCAGGGCCTTTGAGCAGCCGAACTCAACTGCCATCTGTCGGGCCCATCAGGTGGGGGTGCAGATCCGGGAGGCTCTGAGGGAGAACTTCTCACAAGGACCCAGTGACATTCTCCCTTGGGCCTCCCCATTGGGGCCTGTGTATCAACTTTCTCTGCCTTTCCTCCAGCAAGCCCCTCTTTTCCTCCAACCTTCTCCCCTGCAGAGACAATAAAAAATGGTTTGGTTTTGAAAAAAAGAGCTGGTTATTTATTTGGGATAGAAGTTACTGGGAAGGGACCGGGGAAAGAACCTAGAAATGGGTGGGAGGAGGGAGGAAGGGGAATGAGAACCTTGGAGTGGGGAGGGAGCTTACAGGGGAAGGAGGGAGGAGGAGAGGCTCAGGGGCTAGGACTAGTGTGTGGCTTGGGTACTTCCTTTGCTTCATGTGTGATGACCTGGGCAACCACGAGGGCCGGGGGGAACGGGGAGGCTAGGGGGAGAAGCAGGAGGGTGGGCCTGAGCAGCATCTGGCATGGAGGGGGAACAGGGTCAGGCATGGGAGGGGGGATGGACTGGCATGAGAGGTGGTCAGGACCAAGGACTGGGGCAGGAGCGGCAGCAGGGGCAGGAGCTGGCTCCGGATGAGTGAGGAGAGCCTGCATTGTCGCGCACATGTTGTGTCCCCACTGCAGCAACTCCATCCATGTCTCTCTCTGCCACTGCGTTTCCTACCGGACCTTCTGGACTAGTGTCTCATGGAGGGCCCAGAGTATGGAGACATGCTCCCGCATCACGTCTTCCTGGGGGCTTCAGCCTGCAGCTCCCCTGGTGTTGGGCAGCTGCCTCAGGTGGCATTGCCTGCCCCCCTCTTGTAGCTGGTCTGGCTGGGGAGAATAAAGAGAGACGGTCAATCATCCCTGGAGACACTGTCCCTGAAGCTGTATATAAAACCATGGTAGATCCACATCTTGAATACTGTGTACAGATATGGTTGCCTCGTCTCAAAAAAGATAGATTGACAAAGCCCTGGCTGGGTTGATTTAGTTGGGATTGGTCCTGCTTTGGGCAGGGGACTGGACCTGATGACCTTGTGAGGTCTCTTCCAGCTCTATGATTCTATTAGAAAAGGTTCAGAAAGGGGCAACAAAAATGATTAGGGGTTTGGAACGGGTCTCGTATGAAAAGAGATTAAAAACCCTGGGACTTTTCAACTTAGAAAAGAGGAGACTAAGGGGGGGATATGATAGAGGTCTATAAAATCATGGAAAAAGTGAATAAGAAAAAGTTATTTACTTATTCCTACAATATAAAAACTAAAGGTCACCAAATGAAATTAATAGGCAGCAGGTTTAAAACAAACAAAAGGAAGTTTTTCATCACTCAGCGCACAGTCGAACTGTCGAACTCCTTGCCAGAGGATGTGGTGAAGGCTAATACTTTAACGGGGCACAAAAAAGAGCTAGCTAGATTCATGGAGGTAGGTCCATCAATGGCTATTAGCCAGGTTGTGTAGGAATGGTGTCTCTAGCCTCTGTT